TGTTATTTTTTCATATTAAACACATTTCATTTTGCTACACATCTCAAATATCCCATCCTAGTACTACCGGTGCAACACAAGTGATGATTCCATGACAAGCTGTTAGTTAACAAAAATAATTTGAACATTACAAATAAGATTTTTTTAATCTCGATGGAATGATTCATAATTTGACACACAAAGTAAAATGCTTTTGTCTGCCTTTTTAAAGGGAGAGAAAAATAATCTGAGGTAGCAATTCCTTGAGAATATGATGCCTGATCTCATGATACTTTTTCATTTCATTTGTCTTTATGGCTTTGTAGAAGATGTCTAATATCCATCAACTGGCTTAGATGACTTTGGTTTCCTTGCACAACACCTTCCAATTGTTTACAGTTAATGAAAAATTATGAAATACGTTTACAGGCTTCATGATGTGAACTCCACATATACAATGCTTCAGAGATCACAAAAAATTTCTGCTTATTCATTTTAAACACCTGCTGTTACTACACGTTAAATATTTAAATGACATTTAAAGCAACTGTATATTTTCCAGCCATTTAAACATAGACACATAAACAAATATACCACAGAATTCACTGCTTTAACATAAATCATCATTACATATTTGATTTACAGTTTGTTCTATAAACACATATATCTTCTTACTAGTGTTATATAAGGTCGGTTTACTGCATTTTTATTAAATAATCTTTGTAGTTACATGGTATCATCAAGACCATTCTTCAAGCCTGCATTTTCTGTGACAGTGAGTTTTGGGAGCACGTGTCCCACTTCAATAAATTGTATTTCTTTAGAAGTCAAGAATATTACACTGAAATACTAAAATTGTACATGAAATATGTCTTTGCTAAAGAAAAAAGTCTAATTAGAAAATTTAAGATAATGAGTCATATTTGTCAATACTGAAGAAAAACTGTTAATAAAATTAGTCTGAGTCCAAAGGAAAGGTAATTAATTAGAAATTTATATATTCAATTTTATGAATTTTATAAAATTAATTCTGAAAAGCCTTTATACTTCCTTCTAGGGCTTTTATGCTACTAAAAAGTAATTCACACTTTAAGTGACACATGCATAAATTTGACACTGAAAACATCATTCAAACTTTTCAAATAATTATTCCAAGTGAGAAATTTGACTAATGGTGCAAGAGCTAGAGGGCTAATCCCTGTTCCTGGGGTAAATTCTGTTACATACTTCATCCCTCTGGATATCAAAGGAGGTGTCAAGAGCCTGCTATTCCCCACTGGTGTGTCATAATTTTACAATAATCGACCATGTACAACTGCTGCAAAATCTCATCTATTTCCTCACAAGAAGGTATTCCTTAAAAAGCTGCAAGCAAAAATATAGTTGCAAACAGAAATAATTAAATAATTGAACACCCAAAGGCCCACATACTTAGCTGAAGGTTATTCTGATTTTAAAGAACACTAGTTCATTCTCGTCTTAATGTATTTTCAGATGTTAAAGGCTGCTTTCAGAAAGTGTTGCTCCCACCTTGGGAGTAACAAGATCTTTTGGAAAATAAAAGCAAATCCAAGGGAAAAATAATCAACCTGCACATTTGTTCAGCTTAAAGAATGAAATATATTTATGAAAATCATGTTCCATTTTCAAATCCCTCAAAAAGCTTGCTACCTCAGAGCAACAAGCAAATGCACCTTTTCCACTCTGGCTGAATTTCCCTTTTCACAGAAAGCCATGATGATTTGGCATATTGAGATATTCATCAGCAAAGGTGAGAGACAATCTATGCCTCACAATGTAATTTAGGCTACAGCTATTTTGCAGCTTCAGTACCAGTTAATGGCAAAGTATAGAAACTCTTCCAGTCAGTTCTCTTTGTGTGTGGATTACTGGAGGTACACATATAGATGCTTACAGTTAGGCAGGAAGAATCGTACTCTTAAAATCTGCTAAGAGTTGCATCAGTTTGCCTCAGGTCCAAAGTAACTGGTATGACAGCAACAGCCTGCTGCTGATACCTTATTCCATGCTTTCTTTGGTTTATAACATCTGTGTAGTCACCTGTGTTTTACCCTAAGAAATCCAGTACACAAGGAAAATCTTTAAGCTGTGGCTTGGTAAGATTCTATAGACTCTATGCAGCATGAGTTGCATCACAGAAGGCCTGTAGCAGCATGTCTTTACGCACGGCGTTAAGAGTACAAAACAATGGCTTGGCTCAGATATAGCTATCTGTGTAAAGAAAGAGAATGTCTGATCCAGATCAGCTCTGTCAGATTCAGTCAGAAGACTGAGGTGTAAGTGAAGCACTGTCAGAAAGAACTACAGGCTAACCTACACACAAGTTGCTGCCCTGAAAATCATTCCAGTTTTGACTGATAAGCTGAAAGTTTCTTTGCAGTACTTTTAGCATCTCTAGAAAATTGTAAGATCTACTACAAACGCTACAGTAAACTTGTCCTGTTAACTATAACTAAACAAAATTTTATGTTTGCCTGCTCTCTGGAGTAGCCACTTCATGTCTTTCAAGCATTAAATAAGTGGCTGAATTAAGAATCTAAGATACCTCCCTACACATTCAGCACAGCATCCAGACTGCTCTGATCAACCTCTGGAAGTGGGCAGTATGTTGCCTGTATAAAGGACACAGGCTCTAAATTTGATGCCTAGAGTAAATGTTACAGCGTACACTAATACAGACACACAGATAATTAGTTAAATTCTAAAGTCCTGCCAGTGGAAGGGCTAGACAGCTTGACTGATCTATACTTGAGCAGTTCCATGGCATGAAGGTAAAAGGTGAGAATCTGATTCGCCAAATTGGATGTGGCCTTCTGGGACCTTCAAAATCTGAAAGTCTCTTCTGGCTGGCTCTGCAGCAGGTTACCTGATACTGCAGGAAGGCTGGCTCAGTGCATAAAATCATGAAAAGCTGGAGAAATGTAAAGCTGTTCAGAAAGGACAAGAACAGAAGAGAGCTTATCTATAGTAAATACACTTTCCTTCGCGTGTACAGTACAATTCCCCTTACCTTATGTTTCCAATTTCCCCTGAAGCTAGTGATACTGGCTAAATACTTGGCCCAGTTTTAATCAGTCATCACTTGGTCATACTTTCCTGAAGTAAATTAAACTTTTGTTTCAAGAAGGAAGGACCACAGTAAGTGCAGAGCCATTCCAGTATCATTTTGATTCTGCTTTCCGTTACATGGGATGTGAGGAATCCTTACTGTTCCCACTGCTGTTCCAGGAACATCTGTCCAGCCTAAGTACATGGACTCCTTTCCTCATTCCCACCGCTATTCCAGCAGAGCTCTGACTCAGACTTTATGCCTCGTATCTTTGACTTTGGAGGCTGGATTCCAAAATTAATGTTGGTAAGTCCATTATGAAAAATCTGACTTCAAACTTTCCTTCCAGGCTCAGAGAAAAGTGCAGTGTCTAAGGATGCAGGAGAGCACCACTCCATTCATGACTGGTGTCAGAGTACAAATTCATTGGGAAAGAAACTGTGCTCTCAAAACCTAGATTCTGTTTTAATTTTATAATTACAGGTGATAAAAAACATGTGAAAGAAATAATTTACAATTCAAATAGTAATACATCTGCAATATATTATAAATATAGTTAAAAATTACTTCATATTCTTAATTAGTATAAAGTTTAATTTTATGCTTTGTATAGAAATGGTAGCTTTACTTGTTACCGCTGTCTCAGCAGAAGGAAACAGAAAAGTTCCTAAGTAGCTAAATAGCACTGGGAAATTAAAAAATATTTTATTTTGCTTTTTTTTTGGTAATAGAAAAATAGCCTGTAAAAATACATTGTTAAGCATATGGGCTTGTACTAAAGTAGAATTGTATATTATATACAGTAAGGCAGTATAACAAATATTGTCCTGCTATTTTTTTCATGTTTGGTTTGATTGGACTAGGATATGATGGGATGCAAAATTTTCTGTCACATTGAAACAAAGCAAAAATATATTTAGAAGAATTTGTTATTTTACTGTAATTTGTTGAATATGTTATCTTTTATATATGTTTTGTCATATATAAGAGCTCATTTTTTCTTAAGAATTGAGAAAAAATATAAAGAAAACTTAATCTAATGTCAGAATGCATTCAGAAGACAATACATTGTAGATCAGAATGCTGTTGTGCAATGATTTATCTGATTTAGGAACTGCTCAGATCACTATGATGTACTGACTGACCTGTAACAATTTTCATCTTTGTTGAATCTGCAGTATTCCCTCAGGTTTAATCAACTAATAGAAGATGTGCAGAGCTGAATAATTAGTTTACAATGTATTTTTCATGGCAGATTATATCCATTTCCTCTGTGTCAGAAACGTGTTAATGATCCAAGATTTACTCCCATGATCATTGCCTCAACCCACAGTTTATTTTATTCTCTGTATAATACACACAGAAGGCTAGGCTTTTTAAGGAACTATTTGCTATGTGGTTTTGTTTTACTGGACATAACTACTAAGTATGTACTGTACTAACTAGTAGTTATTTAAAGGAGGGCATAAAGGAAGATGGGTCCATGTACTCTGATCCACTGGTCTCTCTTTTGCACTCGCTTGGAACTGTCAGACAGTAGCTCATATTTTTCTCAGCTTGACCTTGCTGAAGGTTCTGAGACGTTTCCATTGCAGGTTCTTGAGACAGAAATGTGTGCTGGATGCGTGAATCTGGCATTAATACTATAATATTGCGGTCCACAACTGTTGAGACCTTGGTATATTCTTTGCTGGTTCCTGGAACAGTGTATTTTTCGGTCTTTCCATTGTTTTCTTTATGTTTCAGTAATACTGCTGGCTCCTCATCTTGTCTGACTTTGTGAACTTCTACATAATCCATTAGTTTAGGATTCAGAAAAGGTGACTTGTCATTAGGTCTGTTTTGTTTGACCTGCACTGTGATTTGGTCAGTTTTGGAATACAAATTCTCCATCTCTCTTTGCTTTTCTATGTTGTGGTGGACAGTTTCACTGACAGGATACTGTGACTGATGCTTTTCTTCATTTCCCACTAAAACTGGTGCAATGTTGACATTTGTGGTACTCAGTGTTACCTTATGTGCATCTACAGTACTGTGGTAGGCAAACATAGGAGGCTGATTATTAGGTAACTGAGCCGCAGGCCATGTGGACGATTTTGTACTCTCATTGTTAAAATGCAGTATTTTCTGTTCTGAATCTATACACTGAGTTTCCCAGCTCCTTTTTCCTCCTTTATTTTCTTGAACATCTCTTATGTCTTTTGTCTGAAGTGTTGATGGAAGGGCGCTGGTTTCCCTGCACTTCTCAGAAAGCAGAGAAGGGCTATCACAGCTCCCTCGGCCCGAGTCACTGTCTGTTTCATTGGGTATCATTTTTGCATTTTTACTGGGATGACCATTGTCATGGCTTGGCATGAGTTGCTGTTCCTCACTGTCCTCTACCTCCAGGTATTCTATCAGTAGTTCCTCACAGTCTGATGTAGGAGGGAAACCATGGCAACCAAGAGCACTCAATAATTCTTCAGATTTTCCTGTCTAAGGGCATAATAAATAAGATATATTTTTTCACTGTTAACCGTAGGGTTTATCTGACTAGAACAATTGTGAACAATCTACATATTTAATATACAAATACTTTAACAGTTATATCACTAGACCTAAACTGGATTTCTACTGCTGCAGAAAATAGTGGAAGAACAGAAGAAAATTTGAGTTCCCTCAGTGGGGAGACACAATCCCAGAATTCATGTTTCTAAAATGGGAGGACTAGGGAGCTTTTGGCAGGTATGGGTCTCATGAGTTTAACAAGAAGGAAATGGAGGAGAATGATAGAGCAGCCATGTCCTGTCTCCTCAGCATGGCAAGAGGCTGTGGAGAGTCCATAAGAACATCCATAAGAACTAGTAGGAAGATCACACAGGCATTGATTCTTGTGGTGTCCCAGGAACAGCTGCGGTCACAAGCCCTGTTCTCAAACACCCTCCTACTACTAGTGCAAGGCAAGACTCTGTCTCCCACATACCCTCCACACTATCAACCTGAAAGTGTCGCTTATTTTTAACATTGATTAAATTAATTGAAGCTGGTTTATATTTTATTATGGTAATTGTGTTTGCTAGTATGAAAAGCAAGTAATGGTGAATTCTTTTGTTGTTATCAGTGGTACTCACCTCTAACAGATGTGTATCTATGCCTTTTATCTTCGGTCCTGGAACTGGTGGCAGGATAAAGGCTATCATTCTAAAAAACCAGAACAAACACGCAAGGTGTAAGTATGGGCCCTATCTCTCTATCTGTTCTCCCATTTCCTCGGTATGTGGCCGACATTTTAAACAGTTCTCCCACATCTGATACCTCCCTGTTGGACCTCTGTTTCCTGTCTACCTCTCAAGCCGGGTAATTTACAAATCCAGTTATAGTTGGTAAGTTACCCTTAGATGTATTTATAGGAAAGAGAACAGTACGAAAGTTACTCAGCTGGAAAAGTAACACTGCTAATGTCCTTTCATTGTCCTTTGTCCCTTAACCTCCAGTTCTCTAATATCACTGTAACTTCATCACTGGCCAAGAAACAGCTATGTGGGGCACAGTTCAGGAGGACTAGTGGGCCTGTACGTACATACTTGACTGTCAGCTGACTATTATTAAACAGGATTTATGATGAATGACTTCTGATGGCTTCTCCATCAACAGTTCCTATCTCTTTCTTCTACTCAGCCAGTATTTTTTGCAAGACTTTTACAAAAGTGATAATCTTTGCAACACCTTTCTCTTTCATATTTGATTGAAATTAGCCAGTGTTCTAATAAATTATTTGGGGAATTAACAGACAGGTGGGCAGAAGAAAACCTCATAATATAACATTGTTTCCTTTAGGAAATTAGGGCAAAACCAACAGGCGTGTCTTCTACAGGAGCAGGGATACTCCAAATGATATTTGCTGAATACTTACATGGCTAACCAAGATGGTCAGATCTAACTGAGAATTTAGCCTGCTTTTCCTGAAGAACAGAAATACCTCTTTATCAATTCCTAATTTAAAGTCAAATATCTGTAACTTATAGTTTATAAGAGAACGCAAAACCTATAGGAAATTGAATCAAATGTTAGAAGTCTATTTTTGAAAAGAGTGCTGAGATTTTCAACTCCATGCAATTGTGAAATTGGTGACTTACCTGTACCCTTTCAAAACCATTGTCCAGCTCATAATTAAGCATATAAGAGATGACAAGACACCAACGACAATCCACACTACCATATCTTTTACTCTAAAGTCTAGGAAACAAACAGAATTATTTAAGGACACACATCTAGCATATGCATAGTCAGCATGCAAAAAAAGTCTCAGATTACTTTTATTTTAAAAATTGGTCTAAACTGCCAAATTTGGTATTGAATATAGAAGCCTTTACTAGCATAGATGGATCTCAACAATCATTGCATTATCTGATAATAAATATTCTTTTTGTTAATGGCACTGTGCAGGAAATAAACTCTCTTGGAGAAATGATACAAAAATATATGAAGAGGGAAATTTTGTCACAGACAGTTATAGCAATTGGGTTCAAATCCAATTATGCCAATACTGTAGTCATTTTAATATCAAATACATATCATACAATTAATTAAATGGTGGGTTAAATGATCTAGGACTAGATGTTTTTATGAATTTTTATTGTAACATGACACTTTTTACATTGGGGTGTTTATTTCAAATTCATTCCAGGTAAAGACTGATGAAGAGCTGTTACTGTCTGAAGGCAATCACTCTTTGTTGTCTGTGTAGCAGTTTTAATGCCGTTACAGGTATTCGTTTAATGAAAAACTACCATCATGAGAACAAATGAGGCAATAAACAGAAAGGACATGGTTTAAATAAGAAAATAAATTAATTCACCTTCTTAACTCCAAAAAGTAATGACAGGGAAAGCTAACTGGGTGTGGTGCAGGGACGCTGAGAATTCGGTTACCTTAGCAATGATGTTCTTCTCTGTTCTAGGGAAACTATGGGATGTCAATCTGCACGGGTGCCACAAACAGCTAACAAAAGTATTACATGAACTTCCATGTAATAAGAATTACTGAAGGAATGCCTAGCCACTCACCTGTAGGGATCTGAATATACTTTTCTGAGCTCCATTCACTCCATGATCCATGGTGGTCTGGTTTGCAGTGAATCTGTACAATGTACTTCTTTCCAGGATTTAAACTAAACATTTTATATTGTGTTTGCTGTCCAACAAAAATAGTCTGGAAATTAAATAAAAACCATAAAATGCATATAAAATTGAGACATTTTTCTACAAAAATCATAGCTAGGTTTAAGTCTTGATAACCAAGTTGGGAATATAGAACGAATCTAGATAGCTTTCTAATAATTGCTATCCAGGCATGGAGTAACGGTACATTTATTTTATTTCTATAGTTTAGCTTTCTAACATAATTCAATGGGAATGAGATCTGGCTCTGGTATACTGTGCAAATTAAAATACTACAAAAACACATCATGAGCATATGGCAAATAGGGAGGAACCGTGGTAATGGTGGGAACTGCAATGGTGAGAGGAGGAGAAGGAGGCAAGAAACAGATGGGGGAAGAAAATGCAGAAAGAAAAGAAGGAATGTGGAATTGGTGGAACTGCACAGGGTAGTGAAAAGTGGATCTTGCAACGGCCAGGGGGCTGGGGAAAGGAAGGAGGAGATACAGAGATAGCTGGGAAGTATCACAGCAGACAAGAAGGGGATGCAGCCAAATACCAATAGCTGGAGTCCTTAATTTGCCGCCCAGTTGTTTGAGTTGCAGATCCTGGCTATAGACAATTATTATTTTGTGGCCATGACAACTATCACCTAATGGCTATTTGTACAAATTTAAATGATTTTACATAATGTCACTGACTTTTCTCTTACCTAAGAAGTGCTTGTGGTTAAGAACAAATTATCAGAAAAGAAACCTGACTAAATGAGAATGAACAATTTAAACTGTAATGCCAATATGATTAATATATAATGGCCACAATTAAAAATAAGTACTTTACCACCTGCCACCCAGCCAGCACGGGTTCATGAAAGGCA